ACTTTGAAAACCGTGAAAAATGAAAACGAAAACGCAAACAAACGGGCCCATAAATTCACTATAAATTTAAGGGAAAAACTGACAAATATCACTTGGAGTGTATGATTCTATATTTTTATAATTTATTCTTGATTGATACTCTTTTTAGTCAAATAATTATATTAGTCAAAAGAGTATTAGTTAAGAATAAGGGATAAACATCCAGACTCGTACACTTTAAAAGTAAGTTTAGTAATTTTCGCTGAATTTTTTAATCAAAGTCAAAGATTTCATAAAACAAACAAAGTTCTAAACATATATATATATATATATTAGTAAGTCCACAAAAGAACTTCCGAAAGTTATAAATATTATATATTTATTTATATGAAATATAAAATATATGTATTCGGGCATTGTTATAAATAGGAGACAAGATTTTATTCCCATCTCCATCTTTTTCTTTGTCTCCATCTCTTTAGGAGTAGATCCCCAATCCATCTAAGGATTACTACCATCTTTACTCATAGCTCGATCAGAGACCAAGAGTGTTGTTATGTGAAAAAACAGAAATCGTCAGTATTAAACACAATTTAGAATAAGCTTATAACAACATCTTTAAAATACTTAGCATTATATATGCTTTTTTAAATACGATGATTATACCAAACTTCATCCATCAATGAAAGAATTTCTTTCCAAGAGGATCCATCTAATATTTGTAAAAGATAGTTTATGAAATAATATTAACTAAAATGGTGATTGGGACATGTCAAATTTAGGGTCTATTTGGTAAACATGTTCAATTGTTTAATAAAATTTTTAGAGGTTTGGTTCTGCCAATGACTTTTGAACGAAAAAACTTATTTTAGGTTTACCCTCTAGTTTTCAATATTTTGAACCAAAAAATAAGACGATACTGCTTCTGATGCTTTTACACATTAAATATGGAATTACTTGAATCTATTTAATTAAATTGCTTCTGTATTAGTGTATTGATTCTTTCGTTTACATTATCTATGAGAGTTCACCATCGCCCATTTCAGTTCCCACGTAATAGGGATTTTTTTTTTTGTTTCTTTTATATATCATAAAAAGATCACACGATAATTTAACCAAGCACCAACATGATTTCAGATACATGCAACGATTTTTTAACTACTATATGTATGTATATTAATGTACATATTATAATGCTACTCTAGTAATGATCAAAAGCACCGCTCATGAATATCAACACTAATATATATATATATATATATAGAATATTCAAAATAAGGTACACTAATACATAATTACACATGGGTTCAGGACATTTATACATGAGAAATCACAACTAGTTATATTATATATATATATTATGATGGGGAGTTCAGAACAAGGGAGAGCGTAGAGGAACTCCTTTTCTTCTTAGTTTGTGCCTCTTTGGAAATGGTAAATTAGCAAGGTATTCTTCATGATCAGTTCCCTCTTGAAAACAGTACTTTAGGTCTCCATCTTTATCCTTGTAGGCGATTCTTCGCTTGCGGTCATCTCCGTATATCGCTGAAACCTGGTAATTAATTATGAACAAATTACAAGCAGATAAGATCTACTGTTAATGTGAAAGACATATATTAATATATATATATAGATATGTATAGAGAGAGAGAGAGAGAGAGAGAGAGAGAGAGAGTTCTGAAAAACGAACTGAACCCCGAAAAAATAAGTTATAAATAAATAAATAAATGACACCCCTTTGGTTTGTCCTTCAGTTAGTTGGTTTTTTAAGCATGGAGAAAGTTCCTTTTAATATTAATGTCAATATTTTCCTTAATCCTTTTAAATCTTCAATTGAAAAAAAAAAATAGTAATAAGACGACCTGAGAATTATGCAATAATTGGTTAAAGGGCGAACTACATATCTAATTTCTATAGCAATATTATCATAAATTCCAAGTGTTCACAACATATAAGTTTTAGCTCAATCACATACAATATTATGTATAGTAGAATTATGGGTACAGGTCCATGGTTTTTTTCCATTTATTGATTGATCATTAGGTTACTATTATTATTTTTTATTTTATTTTTATAAGTGAAAGAAATGGGAGACCAGATAACACTAATAATCTTATTTTGTTAATTATTTATTCATAAAAAGAAACAGTAGCTGGAACGTGATTTTATATATAATTAGTATATGTATATTACAATTGATGAGGGAACAAAAATAAATATATTAAGAATTTAAATATAGGATATTAGTTTGGGGTTATTGTCAGATTTGAGTTATTTAAAAGTTGTTATTTGAATTTGATCAACAGTCGGAAGCTGATCATATTAGGATTTATGCATCATAGATACGAATTATATTTTTCACTTAGAACTTTGATGATGAATTGAAATACAAATAATACTAAGCAACTCTCGATCCAGCTTTTATTTACTTACATAACATTTCGCCATACTATTGCGCAATATGTTGCATACTACTGATCAAGATTAAAGGGTTCGTAACTTTCATTTAAAACTAAAACCGAAGATAAAGTTAAAGACTGCATTGGATATTGTTAACATCGGTCGTTTGATGTCTTTAAACAACTTTAACAATGGCTCTGAACCCAAAATGTCATTAAAATATTTAGCAACAGGTTTGACCGTAGTTAAAAATATTAATTTTTAATAACATTTTAAACGATTTCAGCATGATCAAAACCGTTATTAAAAAACCTTAATATATAGGCTTTCGACCAATGTTAATAATAATTTTAATAGTAGTGAATTATTGCTTTTTATATAGTTATTAGTTGGTATGAATGGTGGAAATTTACATAAGAAACGTGCCTTTTTAAAAAATATCGTCGTATATATCTTCATAAAGTCCTTCTTATATTTATATATAACTGACCTTGCAAGCTATACTGCAATAGCGTGAATTATCCTGCAAACTCCTGTGGCAGATTATACATCTGTATTCCTTTGAACTATTTTGTTGTTGTTGCTGTTGTTTTCGTCGTTGCTTCAAGAATACCACTTTGGCTTTATTTGTATGATACGTCTGAACAATAGTTATTAACAACAAAATTCACTTAACTTATATAGCAGAGAGAGAGAGAGAACACCAAAAATTGTTTTCTTTTTAAAGTAAATTATTAAGAGAAAGAAAGATAAACTGAAATTAGAAAGACTTGACACATTCCAATTAAGTTAGTACCCACTAAGGCTTCGTTCATTTCGCGGATTCGAGTTTTCAATTCGGGTTGAGATGTGACATTTTCTAAGAACTTTTCACTGTAACAAAAAAAGTTAGATGTGACATTTTTTGAGAGCTTTTTACTGTAGAAACCTAAAACTGAAAACTCAAATTTGTGAAATAAACGAGACCTAATTTATTAAATATATATATATATATAATTTAATACTCTGTATAATGATGCTGCCGAATTTGTACTAAATTTCTAAACATCTTGTAATGGCGCCATTTATTATTTGTATTTATAGCAAAGAACATAATGATATGTAACTGTCAATATTAATAATGCAAATAAAATAAACATGAGATGCGTCATGAGCTTAAAAGTTTGTTACACATATTCAACATAAGAAGTATCTTAGCGGGGGGGGAAAAAAAACATATGTAAGAAGTACGCTATTGTTTGCAGGTTTTTTTTTTATTGTAGTTATAATAATAAAATCAACAAACGCACGTTATAAATAAATTTGTTTTGAATGATCAGCAAAAAAAAAAAAAAAATGTTTTGAGTGAATTAAAGAGAAAAATCAACTAGTATCGGGTTCCTTTAGCACATACCTTTATTCTCAACTCGTATTTAATTATATATTATATATACAAAATAGGGATATAAATAACCTTCTAATTTTTAGTGTTTAAAATGGTATCTAACCAATCATATTATACCGTATTATTTAATGAACTTAAACTTTAAAATGTGGAAAACGTTTCAAATTTTGTAAATGACATGACATAATATACATGGTTAGTTAGACACTATTTTGTGACGCTAAGTTTGAACCCGTGAAAGTATTTCACTTTTTATTAATAAAATACATTTTGAAATTAAACTTTCACCAAATTGTTTTTAGATTTACAAAATACATATTGTCATACAATCCTGATATTATTTGACCTAATTTAGAAAGCGTATACTGCTCCTTAATATAGCTTACCCAAGAAAAAAAAAATGTACACAAATAGATTTTGTTCCTTTTTACTTATGTAAAATCAGCTAGCTAGCTGTAGAGGAAAAAGGCAAAATTAAAGCTAGAGATTGAACAGTTCTACTCTTTACTTTGGATCAGTACATATTTCTGTAGCTTTTTATATTGGAAAAAGTTGCCCAAAATAATTACAAGTACAATATTTCGAAATTAATGTAGCCGTAGTTGGCAGCCGTACTTTAGGGTCATCAATAAGCTTTGGGCTACCAAATTTGGTCTACATTATTACTCATACATGAATATAGGATAACATCATAACAACCCAAATTTTACCACCTTCCTAGGGTTGCTGTGTGACTGCTGGATTTTAATTTAGATACAATAAAGTTCATCAACTACACCGACATATTATTAGTAATTTGGTTCCAACTTTTGGAGACATATAAGGATTATTATTGTCCCTTGGTAACTTGGTTCCAATAAATGGTGATAATTAGAGAAACAAATCAACAACATAAGGACCATACTTCATCAGATCTTGATCATTGATCAAAATAGCTTAAAAATAGTCTAACAAATATTCTAGATAAAACTATGCTAAGAAATAGTAAGAAATTGTTAATTACGCGGCCCCGTTCATTTCACCGATTTAAGTTTAGAATTCGAGTTTTGCTACAGTAAAAAGCTCTAAAAAACGGTTACATCTAACTTTTTTACTCCAGTAAAAAGCTTTCACATAAAGTCACATCTCAACTCAAATTAAAAACTCAAATCAACGAACTAAACAGGTGAGGGATGACAGTTATGGCCACAACTACATAACTTATAATATATTTCGTAAACCACGAGGAGTCTACTTAGGTATTGGCTACACGTATTTCGTTTTGCTCTAACCCCTTTCGTGACAGCAACTAACAAAACCATAACGCAGCTAACCTACTTCAAACTTTATTTATTTATTAATTTCCATTTGTAATGCCTTCTAGAGTTCAGTAGCAGAAAAACCATTGTATAAAATATGAGATTGTTTGTTTCTGTTGATATTAGCGATTGGCTTGCATTTAACTAGAGATAATTACGAAAAGAAAAAAATAAATTAATTAATAAAGGAGCACTACCTGTATACCGGAACAATTGAAGAGCTTGCACAAGTCTTGCCGATTAATCACATCACTGTAAATGTATCTTCGAATCTTAAAAGGACATGAAAAAGACACAAAAACTCATGATAAGTACTTGAAATGCATACGGAAACAAGGAGAAGGCAAAATGATATTGAAACGGATTAGAATATGCAAATTTCATAGGCAGTTAAATAGGAATTTGGAATCTACTAAAGATGACAAAACGGAAGAAGATATAATACGTATGTACCTTAATATGCTTGTGACACACATGAGAAGGGAGACAATTGAAGCACAAAGGGAGAAGACAATCGATGCAGAAATGGTCGGAATCGTTCTTCTTCGAATTCGGATGAAGTATGCAGGTGCTGAAGAATATGGTGTTGTACATGACACTTAGCCATCTCGGCACTATAATGTAATTCTTCTGCAAATTATTCACATTTAAACAAAAACCTCATATAAGTTGGTTAATTTACCATGCTGCTGGGAAGAGAATTATTAGCTCGAGCTTCTAAATAAGTATGACAATGTTAAAGAAACACAAATTCGAGCCTATATATATATGTGTGTTTATGTGTGTGTGTGTATATATATATATATATAGATATATGTTTGTGTATACTGACATGTTTATATGCTATTTAAGCCTTAAATTGAAGAGAGAGATTGGTAATCAAGAGAGGGATTAGAAAAATGTCTTGTACATCATAGTTTGGTGCATGAGGACGCTTGATTCCAATGGTCTCTTTCATAGCTATCTTGTTGTCAAAGAAGCAGCTCTCATGTTTGACGTCTCTATCACTGTTGGTCAGATACGCATATAGATTTGGTGGGGAAAACTTGAGCTAAGTTGATTCATATACATCCATTTCAGAAACGCGCTTTTTATATCATTCCACTTTATTGTCAAATATTAAATGAGACCCATATGTGATAGGTAAATTGGCTTTGATGAGGATATAAATGATACAACTTGATCCATCCCATAAACCATATTTGATGCAATGCTAAACTTGTTATATATATATATATATATATGAATGAGTTTTTAATTGTTACATTTTTATAATGGTTACTAATTAAATAAATAAATTTAGTAATGTGGCGTGATAAGAATCTAATCTCATTAATTGTTATATATATTTTTTATTAACTATTCAATTTATTATAACCGTCTGATCAATACCATATGATTAAAATTATAATACCCACCAATGAGTAAAATATTCGAGAAACCAGTAGTTTTATTATTAAGGCAGAATTTTCATAGTTAGAATTATAATGGCATTGTAAAATAGATTCTTATATAAGTAGTAAATTAAACAGATAACTAAATTTAAGATAATTCTTCTTAAGCAATTATTGTTTGATCAGTGGCAATAATCAAATTGTCTCACAATATTTCCTGCTGCAAAAAAAAAAAAAAAAAACCATAAAATATGTATGATCAATTTGTTCTCTTGAATTAGTCCCACCATTATTACATATTAATTTGAACTTTCATTTCTACATCTATCTAGCTTCTTGCAGAATTTAGTTCATCCGTACCCATGTACATTAAAAACAAATTCCAGTGGCTATTTACTCACCACACCAAGAGGACTTTAAACATTTTATCAGATAGTATACAACGCTATTAATTCTCTACTCAAATATTTTTGTCTCCTCTCTTTCTTCACTGCTTTTTTTGTTGAGCACTTATTCTAATGTTGTTAATTCTTCACCAACCGCACCTAACTTCAAAAACTAGAAAACTCAGCTATAAAACCATATATCAAACTTATAATCTTTTATTTAATTTTAGTTTCTCGAGAAAAATTTATGCTACATCTTTTGGCTACTCATCATAACTAAGAGACCACTATGATCAGGGGCAGCATGACGGTTATCAATGCATGGATACTTTAAAAAATCCCAAAAAAAAAATCCACTAAAATCATAACAAATATAAAAAAACTAATTGTTACACCATAGTCGAGACATCGACCATTCCTTCGAACGACCGACGCCGAGGACTCCCGCGCGGAGGACCAGCTGTTGGCATCGAGGGTAAGGCATAGCAAACGTGCCCTATACGCCGAGAGATAGCGCAAGAGGAGAGGCGCCGGGTGAGGGCTTTGCATACTGGGACCGCAGCGTCGAGGGAACATTGTCGGTCCTTTTCGCCAGGAGTCATGTCAACCTGAGGAGGGAAGTACTGATCCGACTGCTACTGCAGAAGTCAGGAAGTCAGGCGGCAGGTTGAGAGGATCAGCCGTATTTCCCGGAAAAGTCATCATGAAAAACCCACCTACCCTCACGAGGATCGAGAACAGAAGGTGGCTTCCACCTTGGGAGCCGGGAATATGTAATTGAAGATAGAGGCCTATAGATAGAAGGAAAAAAACCCAGAAAGGGGTTAGACACTATTGATATTACAGAGAGAACTTGTAAACATATGAGAAAATAGTGCATGCACAAGTGGATTATGCACAAAATTATTGCCGAACCACTATAAAATCCTTGTCCCTTCTACATTACTTTACTGCTTATTACTTGACTCTGTGGTTAGTGTAACCGTGAGCGTTTCCGGAGAGGTAATCACGAGTTGTCAGAAAAACACCGTCAACAATTGGCACTAGAATGAGGGCAGGTGAAGCCCAGAAATTTAACCCAGCTTTGAACCAAAAGAAACTGTCATCATGCCTCCCGGCAAGCGTGTCCGGGATACCACCACCGCAGGGACCTCAACGGATCCACTTCCATCGGCGGCCGCGACTCCCCCAGACCGTATCGACCAGCTCCAAAAGCAAGTCGAAACGCTGGTTGTAGCCGTGGAAAAAATGGCTACGGCCCTGGTTGGGCAGGAACAAGGGCAGGACCCGATGCCACCGCTTGAGGATGCGCCGATGAACCCAGTGAACGCCGCTGTTGGGGGCCAAGTGATTGGCGACCGACGCGGTGACGCCGAGGAAGTCGCTAACAGTCGAGCGGGAGATCCACGCCCGTTAAAGTCGAATAGGTCTGTTGGGAGCAGGCAACGCGCGGCACGGAGGAGAGCGCGGGAGAAAGCTACGGCGCCAGCTGTGGACAACAGAGGTGCGCCCCGTCAACCGCAACAGGATCCACCTGGGAGGAACGTCGTCCCCGTGGGATCCACGTCGGTGTATGGCGGGGACCTGAGGGTAAGGCTTGACGCCCGACGTGGAAAGGCCGTGCAGCTGACGAGGGAAGATGAGCTCGCAGCAGAAAATAAAGCTCTGGCCGAGAAAATGGCCAGGCTGGAGAAGCAGATGGGGAGTCGACTGAACAACTTTGAACAGGTTGTGGGAAAGGTGGTTGAGGCAGTTAACGTCGACGCCAAGATGTATACGTCTCACGACCACCCGTTCACGGAAAACATCATCCGGGTCCCACTTCCCGACAAGTACAAGTCACCCCCCATTCCGTTATACGACGGGAGGAGTGACCCAGACGATCACTTGGAGGTGTACACGGGACACATGGTCCTGCATGGATACCCCGAGGAGGTGATGTGCCGGGCGTTCAGGAATTACCTTTCCGATTCCGCAAGGAAATGGTTTAGGTCCCTCAAACCAAACTCCATCACCAGCTGGGATGATTTGAAGAACGCCTTTTTGACTCAGTTCATAGGTGTCAAGAAATACATCTAACCAAAACAGAACCTGTCGAGGGTATACCAGGGACCTAACGAGTCTCTGAAGGACTGGATAGCCCGGTTCGGGGAACAGGTCGCTGCTACTGAAGGAATCTTCGATGAAGTGGCCCTGATGGGGGCGCTGTCCAGCATGAAGAAGGACATCCCCTACAGCACAGACCTCGACCGAAGGCCGCCCCACACCTATCAGGAATTCCTGACAAGGGCGCAGGGGTTCATAAACGCCGAGGAGGCCAAGAAGGCCTTAAAGAGCAAGGCGGCAACCCCTGCCAAGGAGGAGCTAGGGCATGCTAGTAGTCAGAACAACGGCAAGAAGCGCCGAGGTCCTCCTCAGGTGCAAGCCGAGCCAAGGTACAACCCGGCACCGAGCAACAGGCGCGGCAACGCCTCGACGAGCCAGGGGGAGACCAAGCGGCCCAAGCCGCAACGGTACCACGCCTACACTCCCCTGACTATGGGGATCGAGGACGTCTACCACGAGATCAGCCATCTCCAGGTCCGGCGTCGACCTCCACCCCTAAAGTCCGACCCGGCACGGAGAAACCAGAGCAAATACTGCCGTTTCCACGGTGATAGTGGTCACACCACGGCCGAGTGCTACGACCTGAGGGATGAGGTCGAGAGGCTGATCCGGGAAGGGAGGCTAGGCGAATACCGAGCCGACCGCCGTAACAACAACAGGCGCAACGACGACCGACGGGACGAGCAGAGGCGCGATAACCCGCCCGAACCAGTTGGCGTCATAAGGACGATCTCCGGGGGACTGTACCTCAACGGTACCTCTCGACGCGCACAGAAGGAGTACGCTCGAGAGGCGAAGGAGAAGTTCAGCCAGAGGATCATGAACGTCTCTGGACGCGAGGCTAAGGTCGCGCGATATGAGGACGCCGAGATCACTTTCTTGGAAGCCGACGCGAAGGGGGTACATTTCCCCCAGAGCGATGCCTTGGTCGTCAAAGCCATGATCGGTAACCACACGGTTTGCCGTATCCTGGTCGACAATGGTAGTTCCGTGGACATCTTGTACGTGGACTGCCTCGACAAGATGGGGATTCTCCGCTCAAGGCTGCAGAACAGTGCCCAGCCACTGTACGGGTTGACGGGAGATAGCGTCATCCCGGAAGGGGCCATCAAGCTGCCTATGACCATCGGTGACCGACCACACACCTCGACCGTTATGTCAAAGTTCCTAGTGGTGAAGGGAGGCGACCAATACAACGCGGTCATAGGACGCCCAACCCTGAGGGCCTTGCGGGCGGTTACGTCCATCTACCATCAGGCGATGAAGTTCCCCACGCCAAACGGGATCGGCAAGGTCAGAGGCAATCAGTACGAGTCAAGACTCACGTACTCAGAAACCGTCCACCACTATGCCGAGCCGACTCAGGTACGGAGAGAGCTGCGAATGGTCGAGACCAGGAGATAGGGACTCGACTTGGATCCAAGGTTCCCAGGTGAAGAGCCCGGAGCATGACCGGTCGAGGAACTAATTGAGGTCCCCATCGATGAAAGCGACCCAACGCGAACACTGAGGATAGGCTTGAAGTTGGGGGCACAGAACCGGGAAAAATTGGTCGAGTTTCTCAAGGGAAGCCTCGACGTGTTCGCCTGGACCCACGAGGACATGGAAGGAATAAGCCCCGACGTCATGTGTCACCGACTAAACATCGACGACAAGTTCCTGCCAAAGAGACAGAAGCGTCGACCAATGAACGCCGAGAGGTCCAAAGCCCTGCGGGTAGAAGTGGATAAGCTCATGAGGAACAACTTCATCCGAGAAGTCTTATACCCAGAATGGGTGTCAAATCCTGTCATGGTAAGGAAGCCAAACGGGGAGTGGCAAACGTGTGTCGACTTCAGTGACTTGAATAAAGCCTGTCCTAAGGACAGCTTCCCACTACCCCGAATCGACCAGTTGGTTGACGCCACGGCAGGACATGAGCTACTGAGCTTCATGGACGCATACTCTGGGTACAACCAGATACCAATGCTCGACCGCGACGAAGAGCACACGACGTTTGTCACCGACAGAGGGCTCTACTGTTACCGAGTCATGCCCTTCGGCCTCAAGAATGCTGGAGCGACCTACCAACGCCTCGTCAACAAAATGTTCGCGTGGCAGATAGGAAGGACTATGGAGGTCTACGTCGACGATATGCTGGTAAAGAGCAGGAAGGCCGAAGACCATGAGGAGGACCTGGGAAGAATGTTTGGTGTTCTCAGAACGTACAAAATGAAGCTAAACCCTCGGAAGTGTGCCTTCGGCGTCACTTCAGGGAAGTTTTTGGGTTTCATGGAGTGCAGTCGAGGAAGCGAGGCCAATCCGCAAAAGATTCAGGCCCTCCTCGACATGGCATCGCCAAGGAAGCCTAAGGAGGTCCAGAAGCTGACAGGTTGTGGCCGCACTTAATAGGTTCATCTCTAAATTCACAGATAAGTGCGTACCGTTCTTTGACACCCTGAGGGGAAGCAAATTGTTTCTATAGACGAAAGAGTGCGAACAGGCGTTCCAACAACTAAAGGAACACATTGGCAAACCCCCAATGTTGTCCAAACCTGTGATCGGAGAGGTGCTGAGCCTTTACCTGGCGGTCTCAGAGCACGCCGTTAGCTCGGTGTTAACCCGCGAAGAGAAGAAGGTGCAGCTGCCGGTGTACTACACTAGCAAACGCCTCCTCGACGCGGAGATGAGGTATCCCCAGATGAAAAAGCTTGCCCTCGCGCTAGTCGTGACAGCGAGGAAGTTACGACACTACTTCTAAGCCCATAGCATTCAGGTCTTGACCAATCATCCCCTTAGGCAGGTACTACAAAAGCCCGATGCCTCTGGTTGACTCCTTAAATGGTCAATAGAGCTCAGCCAGTTCGAGATCGATTATAAACCACAGACCGCCATCAAGGGCCAAGCCCTAGCCGACTTCGTGGCAGAGTTCACAGGGCTACCAGCCGAGGTCGAGGCAGTCGACGAGCCACCACGCTGGAAGCTCTACGTCGACGGAAGCTCCAACGACAACGGCAGCGGGGCGGGACTGGTGTTACACACACCGGAAGGACACAAGGTCACCTCGGCCGTCAGGTTTGAATTCCCCGAGTCCAATAACGAAGCGGAGTACGAGGCATTGCTCGCCGGACTCCGGTTGGCGGAGCACTTGAAAGCTGAAAACCTCGACATCTTCAGCGATTCACAACTCATTGTGAATCAAGTGAAGGGCCAGTACCAGACCAGGGACGAGAATGGCTGCGTACCTGAAGAAGGTTAAGGAAGCCCTGGAAAAGTTCACTACCTATGACATACAACAGGTACCGAGGGCAGACAATAGCAACGCCGACGCACTCGCCAGGCTGGCGACGTCGAGAGACGCTGATCTTTTGAACTTGGTACCCTTGGAGGTCCTGAAAACCCCGTCCACGGAAAAGCGGCCCGAAGTCGCACCAGTGGACCTCCAACCTAGCTGGATGGATCCAATCATGAGGTACTTGGTCAGCAGCGAGCTTCATGAGGACAGGCGGTAGGCCCAAAAGATGAAGTACCACGCAGCAAGATACACGATGCACGATAACCTCCTCTACCGCAGAGGGTATTCGACGCCCTTGCTCAGGTGCCTCGGCGCAGAGGAGGCAAAGAGGGTGCTATCGGAGGTGCACGATGGGGTTTATGGGAATCATGCGGGACAGTCCCTGGCCTACAAAATATTACGGCAAGGGTATTACTGGCCCAGTCTTAAAAAAGATGCGGCCGAGTACGCAAAAGGGTGTGAAAGCTGCCAGAAGTACGCCCCGACCCCTCGACTGCACTCAGAGGACCTAACGTCCATACTATCCCCTGGCCCTTCGCAAAGTGGGGGATTGACCTCATTGGTCCCCTGCACAAAACCCCAGGGGGGTACAAGTTCGCTATAGTCGTCGTCGACTACTTCACGAAGTGGGTCGAAGCCGAGCCATTAACGGCCATCTCGGAAGCGAAATGCACAAACTTCATATGGAATAACATTGTGTGCAGGTTCGGTGTCCCGTACTCTCCCGTGTCTGACAACGGAAAGCAGTTCAACAACGACAACACCAGCCAGTTTTGCGAGCTGCTAGGGATCCACAAGAATTTTTCCTCTGTCGTGTACCCTCAGTCTAACGGGCAAGTCGAGGCTGTCAATAAGATAATCAAAGTCACACTCAAACGACGCCTCGACGCCTACAAAGGGAAGTGGGCCGACGAGTTGCCAAAGGCGCTGTGGGCCTACCGAACAACTAGTAGAACCACCACGGGGGAAACCCCATTCTCAATGGCCTATGGGTTCGAAGCAGTCCTGCCAGTAGAGGTGTCCATTCCGACCGACCGAGTAACCCGGTACGAGGAGGATAGGAACGCCAAACTGATGAGCTTAGAGCTCGACCTCTTAGAAGAACGACGCACAAACGCGCAGTTAAGGCTCGCCGCATACCATGCAAGGACGGCCAGGTATTATAACAAGAAGGTCAAGCCGAAGCGCTTCGGGGTCGGGGACCTAGTTTTGCGGGTGGTAACCCCCAACACGAAACCCAAGAACTCCGGAGCCTTGGGTCTGACCTGGGAAGGGCCCTACAGGATAAAAGAGGTTATCGCAAATGGGTCATATCGACTTGCAGAGCTCGACGGTCGAGGCATCAAGCATACATGGAATGCAGACCAGTTGAAGGTCTACTATCAGTGACTACGAGAAGCGTCGACCTAATAGACCAGACTTAACGTCTTCTATTTTTGCTTTTTTCATTTCCCCTTTCTGGTAAGCTGAAAAGCCAACTTGTAACCCATATGCTAATAAATATACGTCGATACATCGACTAATTCTCACCATACGGGTATGATCTTCTACAATTGTCGATACGTCGACCAAAAATTGTCAATACGTCGACTAAGGTCGTCGCTACAACGACGACGATGCGCCGAAGACAAGTCCAAAGCCTTGTTCTTAGCAAGGGGGCGGTACGAGCCCCCCACGAACCTACAAAGACGGTAGGGCTCTGGCCCAACCGTGCTTTGAGCGATTTTCTATGCTCCTCGCATCTCACTATCTACGTCGAAGAGTCTACAGTTACGTGCCAAGGCTAACTTCTCAAACTCAGCCTCGACAAGGGGGTACTAGGGCCCGATAATGAGGCCCCCCAACAAAAAGCACAACGCTCCTTATTCACAAGAGGTAGTCGAGCCTACACTTGGCAAAAAAAAAAAAAAAAAAAGGAAAAATCAAAGAGAATATGCACATACGCAATATCCACACAAACAGTGAGTAAAAGCACGAATATTATATGAAAAACATATATAAAAAGTAAAAATTGGTCTCGACCTTATGGTCGTTACAAATTATTAAATTTAGTCTGGGCCTCACAGCCCTTAAAAAAAAGAGGAAGAGAAGAAGATGGGGTTGCAGCAAAAAATATAAACGGAAGGCCCCGACTAGAGTTTCCTTCTTACTCGTTGTCGCCGCCCGCAGCCTGCTCCTCACCATCACGCGCCTGGTTGACACCCTCGGCCTCCTGCGGCAGCTCGGCCCCCTGTGGCGGCTCGACCACCTCCACGCCGTCACTGTCGGACTCGTCCAAAAAGGATAAGTCAACGTCCGGACGTTTCTGGCGGAAGCGGTTGAGGATTTGTTCCCCTACGGACTGCATCAGGGACATCTGAAACTCTTCAAACTCGGCGGAAGCTTGGTAGGCCTTGAGCCTCTGGTTGACGAGCTCCTCGAAGTCTGTCGAGGATTTAAATTGCTGCACGTGGCCCTCGATCATGTCCTTGAGCTCCTGGGACTCCTTGAAGGCATCAAGCCTGGCGTCGACCATGCGGTGGAAGTCCTCGGAGGACAGAAAGTCTGAGATGGCTCTTGAAGTGGCCTCTTTTTGGTGCTCCTGGAACTCCCGAGACGAGAGGTATGTCTCGACCCCCTTAGAGCTTCCCTCCTGAAAGCCTTTCCTTGTAGCTGTTGGATTTTTCGGTGGAGATACTATCCTCGAAGGACCACACCTTTGCCTTCTCGACATCCAAGTCTGTCGATAGCTTGTCTCGAACCGCACGAAGGGCGGTGATCTCCTTCTCGACGGCCGCCGCCAGGGTCTTCTCCCCCTTGAGGATGGCCTCCAGCTCTACGTAATTCTGGAGAGTAAGCTCAAGAGCCTGAAAGCCAAAGGAAAGAGAATACGGCCAAGACGGAGAAACCCAGACAAAAGGAAAAGGGTCTTCGAGAAGTCGAGGTCGAGGCTTACCGAGATTTGACGCTTCACAGTCAGGCGCTAAGGATCTGAACATCTCCTAGCAGAATCAGAGAGATGATTCCTGAATGCTCGGCACATAATCTCCTCAGGATATCCGTGGAGAACCATATGTCCGGTGTAGACCTCCAAATGATCATCTGGATCACTCATTCCGTCATATAGCTGATTTATACTTATCTGGCAGCGGCACCCGGATAATATTTTCTGTGAACGAGTGTTCGTGGGATGTGTACATCTTGGCGTCGACGTTGACCGCCTCGGCTACCTTCCCCACAACCTGCTCGAAGTTGTTTAATCGACTCCCAATCTGCTTCTCAAGCCTGGCCATCTTCTCGGCTAGAGCCTTGTTATCTACTGCGAGCTCTTCCTCTCTCGCCAGCTGCACAGCCTTCTTGCGTTGGGCGTCGAGCCTCGTCCTAAGGTCTCCATGTGCACAGATGAAGACTCCACGGGGACGGCATTCAATTCGCATCATGTTACGGTCGAGGGGGCGCATCCCTGTTATTCATAGCTTGCGCCGCAGCCTTCTCTCGCGCTCTCCTTCGTGCCGCGCGTTGTTTGCTCCCCACAGACCTATTCGACTTAGTCGGGCGGGGATCATTGGCTCGACTATCATCGGCTTCCTCGGCGTCACCAAGTTGGTCGCCAATCCCTTGGCCCCCAACAGCGGCGTTCATCGGCGCATCTTCGAGCGGTGGCATTGGGTTCTGCCCGGGATCCCGCCCAGCAAGGGCCATAGCCATCCTTTCCATGGATGCGGCCAGTGTTTTGACTTGCCTTTGGAGCTGGTCAATACGGTTTGGGGGATTCTCGGCAGCCGGCGAAAGCGGATTCGTTGAGGTCCCCGCGGCGGTGAGATTCTGGGTTGCCTGGCTCCTCGGGTTAGCCGAGAGCACGCGAGCGTTCCTGGGAGGCATGGTTACCGTTTCTGAGGTTACAAACTGGATTAAATTTCTAGGCTTAGGGGCCCTCCTTCTAGCGCCAATTGTTGACGGTGTTTTTCCGACAACTCGTAATTACCTCTCCCAAAAACACTCACGGTTCAATCAAAGATAAAAACTGAAAAATAATGTAATGGAGACAACAATTTTATAGTGGTTCGGCAATAATTTTGTGCCTAATCCACTTGTGCATGCACTATTTTCTCAGATGTTTGCAAGCTTTCTCTCTGTAATACCAATGGTGTCTACCCCCTCTCCCAGTTTTCTTGGCTCTATTTATAGGCCTTTACATGTGAATACGTATTCCCCATTACCAAGGAGGAAGCCATCTTCTGTCCTTGATCCGCGTGAGGGTAGGTGAGTTTTCATGATGACTGCTCCGGGAAACGCGGCTGATCCTTCCTGTCTGCCACCTGATTTCCTGACTCCTGCAGTAGCAGTCGGATCAATACTTCTCTTTTCGAGTTGACAAGACCGCTGCTGGATTTGACTGGACTGCTTCTGGTCTGATCTAATTCCTGACTCCTCGACGCAGAGGCTTCAAAGAGCCTTTAGTAGACTTCTCGACTTCAACGACGCAAAGGCCTTGAGAGGACCTTGAGCACTTCTCGACTCCAACACCTTGACTCCTCGACGCAGAGGTTTCAAAGGGCTTTTAGCATACTTCTCGACTTCAACGACGCAAAGGCCTTGAGAGGACCTTCAGCACTTCTCGACTCCAAGAGCGCTCCTCAACCTAGAGACATCTCCCTAACTGTTAGTTCTCGACATCAGGGATTTGTCCTGACTTTTGGAGCTCTTGACGCGTACGACAAAAGTGGGTGGCTTGAATGGTCGACCATGGTGTAACAATGTTGATCTTACCAATCCTTAATTTGTCAGATAGTTTTGTGGTGGAATTCTTTTGTTTGTGATTTGTTCTACTAAATTGATTGGATATGCCATCTCAAATCGTCGTTTAAATAAAATCTGTATGAAAAATAAAAGATGAAGGAGAAAAGCAAGGAGACTTTGATGGAACAACCGCACATGAAGCAAACTTAACATTCCTCAAAGCAATCTGAATTTGTGAGTACTCCGTTTGTAATTGCTCTTGAAAATTTTTGATGACATCACATATAAATGATATATACTGGCAGTAAAATTTAAATTATTAATCATGACAATATTCTTGTTGTTAATTCCCAGCTGGTTGAAGTTGAAGAGAGTTCATCTAATTATAAGGATTCTAATGATGATGATAATATCGTTTACATTAATTCGAGTTCTATGACTGGCTTGATTAATGATAGGATCAGATTCAAGATTATAAGAATAATGACAATTTTAAAGACAATGATTATCATATTTAGAGTAAGGGGAATTTTTAAAAATGCCATCAATAAATTGATAATCACGTCACAGTGTTAGAATGATCTTGAATATTTTTTCTTTATCTTAAAAACCGCTGCGCCAGCTCATTAGCAATACATAGCAAGGAAGTTTTGTCACTAGATATCACAGTTCATCTTGTTGGCAATGAAAATGATGTTGGTAATATTGTAGTGCTTGTTATAGTTAAATGTAAATTGACAATTACGTACACACTTGCTTATAATACAATTTTTGTTTCTACTCATGAAGATTACATTTCGTGGCATATATAAAATTCCAAATTTTTTATTCCTCTTAGGTGATCGATCAACATTGGTTACGACGATGGATTGGCACGACTTGTTGACGTTATGTACATCTCTCTCAGGATCATGCACACTTTCCCCCTTTTCTTTTTTTTTTCCTTTGTAGTTTTATAATTAAAGATTTTTTTTTCCAAATTTTTTTTTCTTTTTTGCTTGTTTTCAAACCTCCTCTTAGTTAGACTATATTCAATTTATAGAAAAATAATAATAATAATAATAATAATAATAATAATAATAATAAGAGTATATGGGAGTAACATTCATGTACTGGTATATGACTTGTGCTAGGAAATTAAAAAAAAAATTGAAATAAAAAAATAAACCTAAAATTGAAAAATCAACTAAGAAGATTTTTATATCATTTATAAATATTAATATGTCATTGAATTAGTATGGTGTATGATAATGGAACTTAAAACAATATTGGTGTGCATCTCTTTGTCTTTATGTTTTCAAGTGTAATTATTGAGAAATAAAATCAATCTATTATGGATATAGACTAAATACAAAGGAATTGAATCAAATATGTTCTTTCACAACTCACTGATGGATTAGTAATGCCATGTTAAGGTGTAAGTCATCGATTCAAATAAGAAGCTCTTCTCATGGTAATGCCTATTATATCAGCTTATTCGATCATAAGTGGAGCCAAAATTTCTTATTATTAGAAACCTATTCGACATAAAAGGCACGAGAAAAAAATAATCATACATAAAAAAATAGAAACCTCGAACGACCTCCAATAAAAGGATATCTATTTCTGAAACTAACACAGATGGGTAGGTAGAAAATACCAAAGGGCCTCAAACAACTCTCATTGAGGAATGCATTGTTTATCAAAAGGAATGCCCCCTCACAAAATGGATTGCATTGACTTTGCCCATGCCATTGTTTATCAAAAACACAAATGACTTAAAGTCATACGGCCATGTATACTGGAAGGTCAAGAAAGTTGTGTCTCGTTCATTTTATCAATTCGAATTTTCAGTTCTAAATTTTTATAGTTAAAAACTCTCAAAAAATATCGCATCTCAGCTCGAATTAAAAACTCAAATCTGCGAAACGAAAAAGACTTTGGTGATCTAATGACAAAGGAGCCGTCGACAATGAATCCAATGAATTTAGAGTCCTCGATTTAAAACAATTGATGAAAACTAAAAAAAGTTGCTTTCACATAATTGAATACGATTTCAAATAGAAACAAACCCATAACAATTAGAAATTTACTTTGATAATTCATTTACCATGATTTGAGATCAATTAAAAAAACTGCTAAAAGGGACATTTTGGTCATTTTATCTTAAAGATCCGGGGCTTATTTATTTGCATTTTTTGAGTTAGGGTGACTTGAGTTTAGATCTTGATTTGAGTTAAGGTATATTTGAGTATGGTTTGAGTTGGAACTTTAATTTGAGTTTGTGTTTGGATGTGCACATTTTGAGTTATGGTTTGAATTGAGAATCTATTTGAGTTTGTGTTTGGATGGGTCAAAACTTAAATTTGTATTTAAATAGTATTTTAATAAAAACTCAATGATGATAAAAAATTTTGATAGGGTATATAGGTGGGGTGTTATTCTTCTCTTCGTTGTGAACGCATAGAAAAAAAAATCATCTCAATCAAAATTAAAATGAAAAAATTATGGCATTTTGAAAAATAGAAAAAATATTGTTCATTAACTTGAGTTTGAATTTAAAAACTTGAATTGAAAGGGAAACTTGAATTTAGATTTTAACTCCAAACTCAAGTTAAAACTCAAATTCAAACTCAAATTTATAAAAAAACATAAATTTAAATAAAATTATAACTTAAATTTAAATTTTTTTAAAATTTAGGTGCAAATGAACAAGCCCCAATGACAAACTACAGTAGCATCCAAATGCAACGTTGGGAAGATAAGTTTTGAGCAGCGCCCAGCCACCAAGAAGCAGGCTACCGAACAAGCCATTTTTACTTTGCATGACTTACTTTGATGGGACATAATAGGGTTAATTGCGTAAATCAACCTTAAATTATAGTGTCAATTTCATTTTAGTCCTGACTTTTTAAATATCCTAATTAATTTAATCTCCAATTTATCAATTTGTTTGTGTTAATCCCATTCACTAGTTAGGTATCAAAACCAAAAATAAACTATGGATATATATTATATAATATTTAATTAGTAGAGTATTATTTTACATTTTTTGTGTTAGAATCACAATTTGTTTGTGTTAATCCCTTCATTCGACATGTTACTCTGGAAAACTAGGGCTGCTGTTGGGTGGAAGGTTTACAATAATAGAAATATATTTATGATATGGCATTTCTATCGCATGATTTTTAGAGCATCCAAACACCGATGTATTGGGCATCGGAGTGTTCGAGTACCCGGAACACTTGAGAAGAAAAGAGATAAATACCTCTTAAAAATATATGAGTCAAGATTTTTACTATTTATTTTTAATTAATAACTTTTTTAGTTAAATAGCAATACTAGTAAAAGGATATTAATTAAGAATAATAGATAAAAATTCAGATTTCACATTCTTAAGGATGAATTATGCAATTTTCTCGACCCGCTTAGAGCAACTGGATCACCCTAGCACCCGAATAACCAACCACCAATGTTCAGCCCAAGGGATGAACTCAAGCATCACAATGTTTATTTGTTCGTTTAATTCGAATTATTTGTCTAAGTTCAACAGTTGTATTAATTTTATTAGTTGATTTGAGATTTTGTAACAAGCCCACCTCCTTGTCGTTTTCTAGAGTCTTAAGGTACTTCCTAATAGTGTGTTTGGTATGAATGAAAAGTGGAAGGAAAGAAAATGCCAGAAGAATTTTGGGATAGAAATTAGTAAATTAGCTTGTTTGGTAGAAAAAAATTGAGAAGGAAAAGAAAATTGAAAGAAAATTGTGATTGGTGGGTCCTACCATATTTAATATCTCCAAAAGTGAGGATTTTAAGAAGGAAAATGTGGATAACTACCTAAATGAAGTCAAATTACTAAATTATCCTCATTTTTCATCCAAAATTGACTCCAAAAGTTGGCGCTTTTTTTTTGGATAAAAATTTGATTCATAGTAAGCCATCAAAAGAAAACTTTGATTCATAGTAGAGATATGATTTTGGGGTTTTATACCAAGAAATGATAAACCATTTTTCAATAATTATCTTATCAATTGCAGACAAAAATTTGAAAGAGAGAAATGAGAGAAATCAGATTGGCGCATATATTATAATAACGACAAATATGTTAAAAATATTTCTTTTTTTTCAAAAAAAAAATTCAGCTACCATTTTTCGTCACAATAATTCCAATATTAATCAAGCCATAATATCATCAGCATTGCATTGGTAATATATGTGCATTGTATACATAAAAGGTTTTTGTTTTGTGGAAAATTTCACATGTGTGTGTATATATACATAATATAGATGGAATATATGTTTAAGTTACATGAATTTTTTGAGTTAATTTGATGTTTAATACTGTATAATTTATACTTTTATTAGAAAAGAATATAAATAAAAAATATTTGGGCAAAAAAGTAATTACACCAATAATAATTTTCCATCTCTTTAGTTTCACTTCTAATACCAAACAAGAGAAGGTAGATTCATTTTCTTTCTTTCCTATCATACCAAACAAGTAAGAGAAAATCAAAATCTTTTTTATCATTATAATTTTTTATGCATTATAGTTTTTTTTTCCTCCTATTTTCTTTCCATCTTACCAAACAGAGTGTAATAGTCATGCTCTTCGCCAGAATCTTTCTCCTTTTTGCTCGTTTAAGTTAAAGAATTTGAGTTAAAAAGTAAATTTATGTAAGATAAAATATTATCAAAAAAATTAAATTTAAAGTTTTATGAGATTAAAGATTATAACAAAAACTTGAATTAAAATTTGAATTAACCAAACAAACAGACCTTAGTATTACTTGTGACTTTTGAGCACGGATCATTGACAAAATAATCCACACTTGTCTTTAACTCACTAGGCGTTACGTGTAGAACTACTCCAACCCAACGGAAACCGACGTCTTGACCCTAACCCATCTCATACAAGCCTGTAATCAATACCGTTATTTTTTCCTATTATATATATTTTATATAGAAATCCTCCCTACAAAGAAAGTTCTCTAAATAATTACGGAGAAATTTAGTTTATAGATTAAGATATTAAAGAGAAGTTTGATTCATAAATTAAAATTATAAAATTAAAATTATTTTTAATTTATGTATATTTTTTATGAGAAAAAATACTATAACGAAATAATCAAATAACTTATAAGTAGACACTAATCTACAGATACAGATACAGAGAGCACAAAAATATTAACAACGAACGACCATGACCGACCACGAAGAGTTGTACAGCAGAGCCAAAGAGCTAAAACGATTCGATGACACTAAGACCGGAGTCAAAGGTCTCGTTGACTCCGGCCTCAACACAATCCCACCCATCTTCGTCCACCCGCCGGAGACCTTATCCGACCTCAAACCAGACCCGAAAGCCCGACCCGTATCGATACCTGTAATCAACCTCGCCGGCTTCGGCTCCCCTCCTCGGCGGGCCGAGGTCGTCGACAAGGTGACCCGCGCCGCCAGGGAGCACGGCTTCTTTCAGATAGTCAACCACGGGATTCCGGCGGCTAAGCTCGACCGTACGATCGCCGCCGTGAAGGCCTTCCACGAGGGACCGGCGGAGGTGAAGGCGAGGCTGTACCGGAGGGATGCCGGCGCCGGCGTGACGTACATGTCGAACGTGGACCTCTACCAATCGAAGGCCGCCAGCTGGCGCGACACGCTGACCGTGAGGCTTGGGCCTGACCCGCCGGTGACGGGAGAATTGCCCGAGGTGTGTAGGGAGGCGCTTGTGGAGTGGGACGGGGAGGTGATAAGGTTGGGAGCGGTGGTTATGGAACTGTTGGAGGAAGGGCTGGGATTGCGTGCGGGCAGGTACAGGGAGTTGACGTGTTTAGAGGGAAGGATTATGGTGGGCCACTACTACCCGCGCTGTCCTCAGCCTGATCTGACGGTGGGGCTTGCTTCGCATGCTGATCCTGGAGTTTTGACGGTGTTGCTGCAAGATCACATGGGTGGGTTGCAGGTTAAGACCGGTGGGCAATGGGTGGATGTTAAACCTGTCCCTGGAGCAATTGTTATCAACGTTGGAGATCTACTTCAGGTTATTTATTTGTTTTTTTTTTTATTATTTTTCCTTTCTTTATTTTTTGTTTTTTGTTTTTTGTTTTTTTAAAATATTTTGCCTTTCTTTTCATAAATAGAAGTCGAGTAATTAACCGTGTTTAGAATTAATTCTGTTTTTATTTTTTACATTTTTTGATAAAAAAAATGAAAACGTTTTTAAAATAACGTTTGGTGTAATAAAGACAAAAAACAGAAATAAAAATAATTTTTTAGTTTATTGTAAAATGAGAGAGAAATAAAAAACGACTTTTAGTCGTTTTTATTTTTTATTTTCATTTTCTCTTCTCAAGAGAGAGAGATACATTAATCAGTTTTTTTTATACTGAAAATAATCTCTTGATAAAATTACCGAACGCATTTTTAAAAATGATTTCTGTCTGAGATTGAAAACGTTTATATTTCATTTTTTATATAAAAAATAAAATCATTTTAGAACCAATTCTAAACGGACTCATAGTTTTCCAATCCTGAAAATATCTTAATATAAGGACAATTAATAATATGATGAGTCGGCCTCAATAGTAATAGATCTATGCCAGGGCAGATGGGGACACACGTTAAAAAAATTGTTTTATATTTTTAGTTTTTTTTTTTTTTTTCTCTTATATGCTTCCAGTTAAAAATTAGGTACGTTGCTTACTTTTTCTTTTTATATCTTTTTAATTTCCTCGTTCTTTAAAAAAAAAAAAAAAAAAAAAAAAAAAAAAAAAAAACCGTTGTTCTTTTATTTTCCATCTCTTTTTTACCAACTACGGTTAAATCATGATTATGAATATGAACATCCTTAGCCGTGAGCTACGCCACCATATCTTTGAAACTCTCGGCCATGCTTGAGTTCAGTATTTGCTTATCACATGTAACGTGCATATTTACCACTACACTACTATGTATGTATACCTTTGGGCAAGTGTTTGAAATAATGTTAAAAAATTCTTACTATATTTTTTCCTAAACTTTTTTTTTTTTTTTTTTTGCGAATTAATATATTTTTTTCCTGAACATTATTTCTTCTTTGCTAATGTATATACGCACTACCTATAAATGTTGTTAAACACTGAATAAAATTTTATAAATAGTTAATTATTAAGAAATACTAGAACTAAAGTTTCACCATGTACGTAGTTAGTTGTCACTTGGCCTCATAAAATGTGTGTGTATGTACAGAAGAAATGAACAACTTATTCAGTACTATTGCATGAATATGAATTACATCCCGAGCTATGATCCGTATTGCCACAATGTGAATATTAACGTAATTAGAATAAGAGAAATACTAGCATTATTTTTTCTGTCTGCTTGACACGTGGACTTATTTTTTATAAATTTCGTTTTTTTTTTTTTTTCTTTTTCAAACATACAGATTATGACTAACGATCAATATAAGAGCGTGGAGCATAGAGTAGTGGCCAATCAATCGGAAGAACCACGAGTGTCTATTGGAGTTTTCTTAAACCCTGGAAAAAGAGAGGAGACATATGGCCCTTTGCCAGAGCTGATATCGTCCAACAAACCAGCGGCGTATCAACAGTTCACATTCTCAGAGTTCATGCGAAGGTTCTTCACTAAGGAATTGGATGGCAAATCATTGAAAAATTTCTTTAGGATTTGAATTTGTATCAGCAGATAGAATAGATTAATCTAGTTATTTTCCATAAATACTGCTAAAATATATGTATGCATCTTCGAACGCTTATGCAGCAGAATAAAATCTCCCGATTCCATAAATAGCAGGCGATAAAGAAAGCAGAAACATGATGAACCAAAGAAATACATCTGATATTTTTCACCAATGCATATTTCCCCATGATAATAATCTTTCCCGACATTTCTATCATAATTAATTCCTCATGTTTATAAAAGCAGTCTCTTGCTCTGTTTCGGTGACCAGATTTAAATTTCAATAGAGAAAAGTGTTTGCGCACAAAAAATTTGAATAATTAAAGTCCCTGCTAATATATTCTCCCTCAAAATTTAAACTTTGAATCCAAATTATGAGTTTAAAGTTTGAAGTATGAACGAAACGGACATTAAAATATTATTAATTATTATATTTTTGTTTGTAGTTATCCATTAAATATAAAAGTTTAATAATGTGGTGTGACAAGAATTCAATCTCACAATTACTATTAATTTTTTTCATCAACTATTTAAATTATTATAACGTCATATTAATATTTTATTATTCACAATTATCTAATTTATTATAATATCAGACTATTAAAACAATGATATCCACTGACAGAATCATGTATAATCATATATAGAGATATATATTGTATGAAATGAAACGGTGAATTTTCTTATAAAGCTAAGCCAAGTTCGTCAGTAGCCAGTTAGCCACGTATGCTAAGAGATAATAAAAAGGGGGAGGTTGACTTCAAACGGTAACAGATTCGGAAGGGCTCGTTCGGTTCGTTAATTTGAGTTTTTAATTCGAGTTAGGATGTGATGTTGTGTGAGAGCTTTTTACTGTAGTAAAAAAGTTAAATATGACTGTTTCTGAGAACTTTTTACTGTAGCAAAACTCAAATTTTAAATTCGAATCAACGAAAAGAACGGGTTCAAAGCTGTCCAAAGAAGGCAATGAACCGCAATATAATTGCATTTACGGTGTGCAAAGGTTAAAATGCCCAACAAAACAGAGATGTCCCCAACATGTGTTCATGAGGAGCTTGGGGAACACGTGAAAAGATGACCATGGGAGCATCAGATTCTACATCAATCATGTTCATGTTAAAAGCTAGAATCAAATTTTATATAGAAATGGATTATATGATTCTATTGCTTTTGCTTTCCATCTCAAAATTTAATCCAACGAATTTAAAAGCACTGAATTTCATACTAAAATACTCATGTGCTAATTCAAATCCCATGTTCTTAGTGCTTACAAGTGAATAACGCAGTTAGCCAATAATAATAATATAATAATTAAATTAATAATAAACATGGCCAAAAAAACCACTAAATTTTAAATTCAAATCAACCAAAAGAACGGGTTCAAATCTGTCCAAAGAAGGCAATGAACCGCAATATAATTGCATTTACGGTGTGCAAAGGTTAAAATGCCCAACAAAACAGAGATGTCCCCAACATGTGTTCATGAGGAGCTTGGGGAACACGTGAAAAGATGACCATGGAGCATCAGATTCTACATCAATCATGTTCATGTTAAAAGCTAGAATCAAATTTTATATAGAAATGGATTATATGATTCTATTGCTTTTGCTTTCCATCTCAAAATTTAATCCAACGAATTTAAAAGCACTGAATTTCATACTAAAATACTCATGTGCTAATTCAAATCCCATGTTCTTAGTGCTTACACGTGAATAACGCAGTTAGCCAATAATAATATAATAATTAAATTAATAATAAACATGGCCAAAAAAACCACCTAATAGGCTAATACGGATTTAATTACGAGCACTAGCAACTAAGCCTGGCATTTACATTTCTTCTAATTATTTGTGTCAGAATAGCCAATTAACCAGATCAATAACATAATGATCAAAACGACAATAGTGAACAGTGACGAGGAAAACTACGACATAGCCAAAAGAACTGAAGCAGTTCCACGACAGAAAAACAGGAGTCAAAGGCCTCATCGACTCCGGCATAACCTCCATCCCACGCCTCTTCCATCACCCGACGAGCACTCTATCGTACATCAAGCCCGACTCGAAAGTCCAAAACATCTCCCCTCCCGTCGTCGACCTCTCCAGCTTCGACTCCGACCGGCACACCGCCATCGTCGAGCAGCTGAGCCGCGCCGCAAGGGAGGTCGGCCTCTTCCATGGCATCCTGCCGGCCATTCTTGACCGCGGGGTCGACGCAGTGAAGGCTTTTCGGGAGCAGCCGGCGGAGACAAAGGCGAGAGGCTCTACGGCGGGGATTGGAGCGACGGCTTCGCGTACAGGTCAAAACTTCAACTTGTAACAATCGGCAGACTGGCGGGACTCGCTTTCACTAAGGCTGGCGCCTAAGCCTGACCAGCATGTGACGGAGAAAATCCCCGAAATTTGCAGGGATGCGATGGAGGAGTTGGACCGGGAGGTTTTGCGGTTGGGTGAGGTGGTTGTGGGGTTGTTGGAGGAAGGGCTGGGATTGTCTGAGGGGTGGTTCAAGTAGTTGACGTGCCTAGAGGAGAGGAAGTTGGTGTCCACAGCCTGATCCGACGGTGGGGTTTAAGTCTCACATGCACCCGGGAGTTGTTTGTGCGGATTCCCAAACATAAACACACCCTCACACGCACGCGCCAGAAAATAAATTGAAATAAAAATAATAAAAAATAGAGAAGATAGAGATAGTTCAAAAAAAATTTCTATATTCATAAAAGAAAAAAAAAATTCATTAACAGTTTTAGAATTACATATTCCATAAATTTTTTCATTTTCTCTCCCTACCCAAAACTGCTCGCACCTTTGTCTATCTCTCTCCTCACTTTTTTCTCTCTCTCTTTCAAAAAGAGACACTATGTTTTTACACTTTTCCCTGAACACACACATAAAAACTTACACAAAATACTTATTTATAGACTCTTAATAAATCATAAAATAGTCATTGCTTAAAAATTGAAAATAATAACTTACTTAAAAACACAAAATAGTAATTTTTTAAAAACAAATTTGAGTCACTTACCTAACAACATCAACTTCTGGTGGTCAAATCTCCTTCCTCGTCGTCCTTCACTCACTCCTCTACTGGTGGGTGCCAGGGGTTGTTCTGCAAAAGACACTCTGATGCTCAAGTCAGACGAATATATATATATATATAAAAGGTCTAGAATGAGAGAATTAAGACAAAGAATAAGAAATAGAATAGTGTCCCCTTTTTTATTCTCTAGGGATAGTCTCCCTTTTTATTTTCATCATTTTCTATTTATACGACACATGTCATGATCAGATGAATATTTTTGATCCATCCTGATCATGACACGTTTTCATTCCATTTACTCTAGGGTTTCTCCTTCTACATTCCTCCTTTGGAAAACCTTTGAAGATTTTCCCTCCCTAGGAAAGGTCGCTTTCCATCCGTTATTCGCTTTACACACGTCATGTCCGGGTTGGACGCATTAATTATGGGGATAGTGGAGCGTGTGTCACTATATGGAGATTCTCCCTTTGACTCAAGTCACCCTCATTATCTTCTCGATCTCGATATATCTCGGTCTCGTTGCGACATAGTCTTCCGTTGACCTTATCTCGGTCTCAGTCTCGTTACCTCAATCAAGGTCGTGTTCTCCCTTGATTTCTAAGACTCGGTCAATGAATCAGTCTAGATCTCATATTCTATTTTCAGTGATTTCTTAACACGTGTTGTGATCTCATGAGTTCTCTCGAGAAAATCCCCCGGCAGGAGTGTTAACCATGTTGTTACAGAACCACTTGGGTGGGTTGGAGATGAAGTCTGGTGGGCTCTGGATTGATGTTAAACCAGTCCCTGGAGCTCTTGTTATCAACATTGGAGATTTGCTTCACGTATTTTCTGTCCCTGTCCCACTATGCTTTCCAATTTTCATTACAGAAGGAAGGTTCATTTTATCTCTAACATATATTTGGTACGTGACAGATTATGTCCAACGATGAAATCAAGAGTGTAAAGCATAGAGTGGTGGCCAATCAATTCGAAGAACCACGAGTATCTATTGGAGTTTTCTTGAACCCGGGGAAAAGAGAGGAAATGTATGGCCCTTTACCAGTGCTGATATCGTTTGATAAACCAGCTATAAGCTAACAATTATAGGGTATTTGTTATGAGGATTCGTGTCATGATTTGAATCATGGTTCGTAGCTCGTTACAATGTTTTCTCTCACAAAAAATACACGTAAATTGAGAATGATTCTGAATTATGGTTTTGAATTCGTGAACCAAACGTCCGCTTATAGTCTCAGATTTCATACGAAGGCACTTCACCAAGAAATTGGATGGAAAAACATTGAAAAATTACTTTATGATTAATTCAAACGGGCCAACATATCATGAGCAAATAGTATAAATCTAGCTATTTAGCTATTTCCCACTTATATTTCAATAGTACTACTGCAAAAATGTGCAATGCATCTACAAATTAAGGTTGGCACAATGAAAATGTGTCATTCCCCTGAATATAGAATATACAATATAGTAGGTGGAGTACGAAAGCAGAAACATTATCAACCAGGGATATTCGTGGAATTAAACGGTTTAGTGTAAAATATTGCTAATGTAAAATATAGTACTGGCCTTGTTATATTGGCAATAATTCTCGTTAATATTTGTTGTCACCTTTTTAAAACTGATATCAGCAGGCCGATATCAGTTTTAAAAATAAATTCACCTGTTTGATATTATTTAAATATAAATGTACATATTAATTCACTATTTTTTTCTGAATATTAATTCACTATTTACATAAAACATGGAGTATTTTTTTTCATTTCTGAAGCCCAAACATGGAGTCATTTATAACAGGCTCTTCGAGAGGCTAGTCAAATGTTATAAAATATATATATATATATATAGCTTAAAATACACGTGTGTACGAGTTTTTATTGCTTATTCTTAATTAATATTTATGGGCGAACTAAAAAAAAGAACTGTAATACAACATAAACTGTATTGATTCATCATTTACATTAAGCTATACAATGTAATAGTCAAACTAAACGCTATTTAATGTATTTTTACTCTAATACAGTCAACTAAACATACCACAATAAGTCAATAAAAATAAAATTTTATAAACAATTTTACACGTATGTAATTTAAAATTCACCATTTACACTAATTTATACAATGTAATAATCACACTAAATATTATTTAATGTATTTTTATACAACACAATCCTCTAATACGGTTAACTAAACATAACACAATAAGACGATAAAAATAAAATTTTATAAACTGTTTTACACGTACATAATTTAAAAATTAAACGTTTTGAACTAGAATAATATACATTCCGCGATAAATTCCCCGGATAAACAAACACGTATGACGTATACGTTGATATGAGCCAATTTGTATTTATTTAATTGTTTTTTTTTTTGGGGGAAAAAGATGTTCAGCTTCAGCCTACCAAGTCTAACCGGTCGTATCTACTTCCAGTTCTCTATCCCAAACCAATTTCATACCATTCCCACAAAAAGTCAGAAGCTCTCACACAAACACCCCCAAAACGACATCCACGGCGGCCATGGCCGACTACGACAGAATAAAGGAGCTCAAGCAATTCGACGAATCAAGGACCGGCGTCAAAGGCCTCCTCGACTCCGGCCTCAACTCCATTCCCCTCATATTCTGCCACCCTCCCGAAACCTTATCCGACCTCAAACCCTCATCCGCCGACCGCTACGTGTCCATTCCCGTCGTCGACCTCTCCGGTTCTGATTCCGATCATCGGCGCGCCGCCGTCGTCGAGCAGGTGAGCCGCGCCGCCAGGGATTTCGGCTTCTTCCAGGTCGTCAACCACGGGATTCCGCTGGAGACCCTCGACCGCACGATCGAGGCCCTCAAAGCCTTCCACGAACTTCCGCCGGAGATCCGATCGCGGTTCTACCGGAGGGAGATGGGGACGGGAGTTTCGTACCTCTCCAATGTTGATCTGTTCAAATCGAAGGCCGCCAGCTGGCGCGACACGCTGCAGGTGAGGCTGGGCCCCATTCAGCCGGAGCCGGGGCAGGTGCCGGAGGTCTGCGCTGGCGCGGTGGCGGAGTGGGACCGGGAGGTTTTGAGGCTGGGAGGTTTGTTACTGGATTTTGTTGGGGAAGGGCTGGGGCTCCCTGCGGGGAGGTTTAGGGAGATGACGTGTTTGGAAGGGAGGACATTGGCGGGCCACTACTATCCTTATTGCCCTGAACCTGATCGGACGATTGGGCTCGCAACTCATGCCGATCCGGGGGTTTTAACCGTGTTGATACAGGACAAAGTGGGTGGGTTGCAGGTTAATTACGGTGGGGTCTGGGTTGATGTTGAGCCTGTCCCAGGGGCTCTTGTTGTCAACATCGGAGATTTACTTCAGGTAAACTACTTGGATTAAATGATAACCAATGATTTTAAATTTTTTTTTTTTTTAACTTCAAGTTCTTAGCTAGTCATATCAATCACTTTCCATTAAAGTTTTAACCTCTTAACATAAAAGGACTAAATGAGACGTTGTCTAAATTTTTTGGGCTCTTAACATAATATGCTGGAAGAAAATTTCCGGCATTAGTGCCGCAAATTCAATTACCAGCGAGCTTCAGTATTGGAATTACAAAACTTCAGGAAAACAATTGGGTTAAAATGAAACCAAATGTTTTAAATTTTTTTTTTTTTTAACTTCAAGTTCTTAGCTAGTCATATCAATCACTTTCCATTAAAGTTTTAACCTCTTAACATAAAAGGACTAAATGAGACGTTGTCTAAATTTTTTGGGCTCTTAACATAATATGCTGGAAGAAAATTTCCGGCATTAGTGCCGCAAATTCAATTACCAGCGAGCTTCAGTATTGGAATTACAAATGCCTAGATTTGAGTTTTTAATTCTGAGTTGAAGTGTAATATTTTTTAAGAATTTTTAACTGCAATAAAAAAGTTAGATATGACGTAGAGTTTTTAACTATAAAAACTTAAAACTGAAAACTCGAATCGGTGAAATTAACGAAACCAAAATATATATGTGAACCTTTATAGTTTCAGAATTACTGTCGTGAATTACTTTAATGAAACAGCCTGATATTTTAAAATGATATGATAAACTTGCGAACCAAGATTAGTGTCGTAACTAGACTCTAGGTACTATAGAGCAAAAGTTTTTGACTGAATGAAATAAATCCTAGTATGAAATAACTATGCTTAGGAAATTGTTGACTAATTCAGACATTATGACGAAAAGTGTTGATGAATTTCTTTCATTTTTGATTATTTAGATTATGTCAAATGATGAGTACAAAAGCGTGGAGCACAGAGTGTCGGCCAATTCATGCCAAGAACCGCGAGTTTCTATTGCGGTTTTTTTGAACCCGGGTGATAGAAAGAGGATGTTTGGTCCACTGCCAGAGCTGATATCGCTGGAGAAACCGGCAGCCTACCGGCAGTTTAAGTACCCGGAGTTCATACAGAAGTTCTTCTCTAGGGAGTTGGATGGCAAGCCTTTGAGAAATTACTTTAGGCTGTGAATACTTTATACCATGTAAAGGAATATTGTGAACACATGGTTATTTCTGTGCTTCAACACTCGTGAGTTTTGACAAATGCAAAGAAAAATTGGACTATTGTATTTGTGTATCTATCTATTTTGTTGGGCGATCTTGACCTAACATGTCTGAATTTAGTGAGAGTATTGTCCGTGCACAAATTCTTTCAATTTCTACTGACTATGAATTGTCAAGTGATTTGACCAAAAGCTAATCATTTTTCTTACCAAGAAAATAAAATTTGTAGAAGAAAACAAACCTTGTGCAAGTGGTAATGCTCAAAGGAGACGGTAAATCATTTGAGAGCTTAATATTAAGCGGAGAATTTGAAGAACGATTGTATAAAAATATAATACGCAAACCAATCATGCATGAAGGAAAAAAAAAAAAACAGTTGTATAAGCTTTCTTGATGTTATGATTATTATCATTCATATTCTCAACTAAACAAGCGAAAACACATTGAAAGGGTGTTTAAAGGAAAAACAATATAAGAGTATAATAAATAAAAATTCAGCAATCAGGGGGAAAAAAAAAAAAGGATGCACGGCTTTATTGCCACGTTTATCTTTGTTTCTCTCTGCTTTGCTTTCTATTCTTTTTGAGGTGCCAGAATTTCTATTACAAATGGATTGTTAGTGAATCCTTTACTCAGATGTTATAACTAATTCTGGTTTCAAAAGCTAGAGCTATAGATCATTTTAATGGAACATTTCTCCATCACCCGCACATTTTGGGAACTCTAACCTTCTTTGAGTACTGACATTTTAAACACAAACATGTTTCTCCTAAAACTGATGTAGTTGCACCTGAATACAATATATGTCGATTGTTTGTGAAATATGATTCGAAGATAGACCATTTCAATATACTATTGTTGAACCGTAGAAATTTAGCCAAAAAAAAAAAAAAAAGAAAGAAGAAGTAAGTATAAAAAAGATAAAAATAAAAAATAAAAAAAAAAAGGCGTGAGGATTGTAATTCGTATAGCCAACCACGTCCCATAAAACTTCCCACAAATGCAGTTTTAACTTTTACACAAGGCCACCAAATGAAAAAAAGAAGGGAGGATCCCAAGGGGAAAAAAAACAAAACAAAACAAACAAAAAACAAAAAAGTGCAGCAAGTGTACATGGTGAAATTAGCCAGAAATAAAAGAGAGAAAAAAGTCAGTAAGCAATAGAGATAGAGGAAAATAGGGAGAAGAAAAGATAAGTGAAATGTTTTTAATATTTATATGAGATTTGTGATTAGCACTCTTTAATAAGGCAAAATCCTATGAGCACTTTCTGTATGGGATTTGTGATTAGCACTCTGTTGAAGAAAAGAAATCCTACGGACATCATATGATATGGGATTTGTAATTTTGCTTCCTTCGAAAATCCTATGGCTCCACCTGAATTTCCTTTTTAGAAATTTATATAAGTTGAAAGTGCTGGTAAACAGAAGTTTTTTTTTTTTTTTTTGTTTGAAAATCAAAGATTTAAAAGTCGTACACACACGAAAAGTGTTGGATTTGTGCCGGAACTGTATCAAATGACAGCAAAAGAATTATCGCAAAGAAGTCTCTTTTGAAGCCTACTGACGACAACAAAATAAAAGAAGAATGTTAAAATGTCAACATGGTCAAATTTTGATGGCGTATACTCAAAATATGAGCTATAATGACCAAAAAAAGCCTCAGTAAACTACCGGTAACATTCTGCAGTTTCAGTCAACTGTCAGGATACTACTCAGGCCAATAGATGCACAACCGAATCAGCACATCCAAACAGATCCGGTAAGCTAGAAAGTTACAATATAGATACGTCAACCATCTGGTTACCATGGCTTCCAAATGTCCAACAAGCCCGGTAAGCTCCAAGAAGGCCTAGACTAACAAGCAGGCCTAATCAAGGTAAACTGTCAGTTTAGTCTGCAAACATGGGTAAACTACAAAAGTTCACCGCACAAGGACTCACCAAGCAAGGAAATAAAAAAGACTTCTAAAGCGAAGAGCTATATAAGGCACCCTTGCATCTTGTCTCTATGGAGCAATAATGATTCCAATCAATCAAAACTCAAATTTTAGAACTACGATGTCTTGATTCTTCTTGGGGATTCATAGGTACCTTAGTTGCAAAAACTAGGTGCAGTCACAATTCTCAATTCTCAATTCTAAATTCAAAAAGAAAAGGTCATTTATCAACATCTTGATTCCACAAACAGAGAGATATACAGCCTAATTATAAAGATCGACACAATCACAAAACAAAAATAAATATCCAATTCCAAAGGATTATTTTTAAAAAAAAAAAATTAATTCTAAAAAAATTGTTTTGATTTCATATACGGTCATTCATCACGGAATCTTCCAAACACAACAAATCCAAACCAAACTACCACAAAATCCTAAAGAGGTCATTCACCTAAAAAATCAAAAAAAATCTTTCATGTTCTATATGAATTATGACGTATATCGCCACAGAGTTTTTCAAAATTCTAAAGAAGTCCTAAAATCCACTTAAAGTAATTCATGGTGGAATTTTTCAGCTCTAAATTTTCAAACCCAATTTTCGAAATACAAGTGTGTTGATCACTCAACAAGGTATGCAGGAAACTCGGACAAATCAAAAATAAATACTACTCAGCACGGAAAAAATATTATTTATGTTACTTTACTCAAAAATAAATAACTGCCCTTCAATTAATAAAGACAAAACAAAAAACTCTTATGACACTTAAGTATTTAGAATGGTATAAGCATATCCAATGCAATGCTATAATTAATGTGCCAATTGTAAATTTGTGGTAAATTTTCCACCAAGTTTAGCATATAGAAAATTTGACATTTGATTACTATTGGTTGAAATGTTTACTTTTTTCATGTAGTCAATACAACTTTTGTATTTTTTTAATTATTTTAAAAATAAAAGTTTACTTTTACAACTTCTAAAGCTTAATAATTATAGGAAAAAGTAAATTTAGCATTTCAAAATAGCATTATACATTAGAACAACAATGCAAATAACATACTGTATTATAGTTTTTGATGCTAAATATACAATTGATATTAACATTTGCATTAAAGATAGTCTGATAAATTTGTATAAAACCACGCAAACCGTCTACTTTTCTCATTATTATTTTACCATTTTGTTGAGACATGGCTTGTTTTTCCACTTTACCGGCAATTAATCAAGCCCATATGTTAACAAGAAGCACATAACATCCAGAATTCGCCCATCTACATCATTTAACATTTCTTTTAACAGTAATTGTGATAAATAACATATTTTTAAAACATATTTTAAGTTAATAGTATATTTTTAAAATAATAAATAAATGACATGTTTATTGATAAATAGACAGATCCAGCATTTGTTTTTAGTGAGGCACAAATAAGAAAAAAATTATTTACTAGAATAAAAAAAAACTTCATTAAGAAAAGCAAAAATATTACAATTACACTTTATTGGATTTTAATATTTTGATTTTGCATTATTATCACTTTTCCCTCTAAGGATTGATAATACTATTTTTTTTTTTTTTTTTTTGTAAACTTTTCTTCAGAATTGTTTGATATAAAATTCTAAGAAAGATTTGATATGACTATAATTAAAAGAATTTTTTATTTTTTATTTTTATTTCTTATTTTTTATTTTTTTTAGGAGGTGAAAGAAAAAATTGAGAACAAAAAAAGTGAAAGATGATATAAAGCGTGTTTGAAATAAATAAATGTACATGTAACTGGCCAAAAAACAAAAAGTAATTAGCGGTATATAAATAGTATAAGAAAGAGAGAATCCTCACGGTTGATCATGTTATTTCTCTCCGGGAACAAAAGGTTTTAACCATTAGATTAGTATTTTAACGGTTAAATTTATGCAGGTCTGTATTAAAAGTCTATAGCGCACCACATAATACTGTTCCTATTGCATATCTGACCGTTGAAAAATTAATCTAGCAGTCTAAATATAGTTCCCACTAGTGGAGCAAATTTACATGCTCTACGTAAAGACTCCCTAAGGAAAAAAAAGACATTACGCTTTTATCCTTAAAAATAATAAAGATTGATGTCATTAAATTTTGATCAAAAAAGGGAGTTTCTCCTGTAAGATCAGAAAAATAAAATCACCGCTAGTTTCATTTTTTTTTTCAGCCGTCAAATTATCTGTTCTACATACTTTTTCAATCTCATTTAATTTTGATAAGATCCAACGGCCAGAAAACTAATCATACCGGTAAGACAGCTTGCCGGAGACAATCCCCCAAAAAAATGCATAATGTAAATAAAAAATAAAGCAAATTGACATTCTATAGAGGCCAATGAGTGATAAAGGGATTTTGAAGGGGTTTATAGCATCTCTAGTGCAATGCTATAATTAATGTATCAATTACAAATTTAATATTTGAGTGTAGAAAAATACTCCAATGCTATTTGTTGTGTTAAATTTTTCATATGATATATTTTGTGATAAATTTCTCACTAAGTATAGTATATGAGAAATTTGGCATTGATTGTTATTGATTGAAATGTTTACTTTTTCATATAATCATTATAATTTTTGTATTTTTTAATTATTTTAAAAATAAAAATTTATTTTTACAACTTTCAAAACTCAATGATTGTGAAAAAAAGTAAATTTATCATTTAATATAGTATTATACATTAGAATAAAAATAAAAATAACATATTATATTAAATTATCTCAATATAAATATTAATATATAATTAATATTAAAAAATATTATACATAATTGCCATTAACATTTGTATTGAAAGTGATCTTAAACCTCCTCATTAGGCAAAGGTAAAGATTTCATACAAAAGTATATACGTAGGTTCGTTTTATCGGTAAATACTCAGGTAAATATTGTATGTTTTTACCTTAAGAACCGTTTCTAAAATATATTTTTCCCTTGTTATCCTTTCTTTTAAAACCCCTATGTATGTGGCCACTGCGGCACCGCCCGACATGTCCGTCGTTTTTTGACAGGCCGGATGGGAGACAATACCGATATTTTAATTGATTGATATATAGATATTTAAAATAAAAATAAAAAAAAACAGATGACATGATTGAATATTTTTCTGAGAGGAGGGGGATTGCTTGCTCGGTATCCAATGCTATCTTATCCTAACAGAACCATTCATGGAAAACAAAAGACGAGATTTTTTTTTTTGGCTAGAGTCTAG